TGAGTAGCCTTCGATCTAGGGAAGAGGATTGTCTTTTGATCATGGAGGTCATGGCTTTCGATCCAGGAATGAGATGCCTCCTTCGATCCAACATGCTAATGGGTTCGATCCAGAGAAGGTGTCTCCTTCAATCTGGGGTGTTATACCTGCAAAAGTATGTTAGCGTAATAAAATGCAGGGCCTGGGTATTGAACCTCAGGCCCTTCGATCCTGCGCTTGCTGGGTCTCTTCAGGCTATGTCTGCAGCAAATATTAGCAAACGATGGACATGGCCTGGGTGCCAAACCCAGGCCTCCTGATCCTATCTAGGATAGAAAATCGAAGGTAACAACCAGTATGGATGTATTATGCAAATATGCGGTTGGATAGTTTACCCTTTCTTACCAGCAGATTGGACTTTTAATTTGGGCGATTCCTGGATGTAGGCACGTTCGATTTGGGCACTTCCTGGATGTAGGCACTTTTGATTTGGACACTTCCTGGATGTAGACACCTTCGATTTGGGGCTTATGGGCGTTGTGATCTTTTGTTGAAGGGTTGCTTTGGCCTGGATCACTTCTGAAAATGTTGACAACCTGTGGTGGGCAGCGTATCTCCAATATTTTTTTGTTCTCCTGTTCTATAATTTTTGTAATGTTTTTGTTCCACCCTTTGAACTGTATGCTGGCCCTGTATTTATAGGAGTGTAGGGGTCTAGTAACGACAAGAGATAACATTTAACCAGGCCATTAAATCCATGAGACAAGAATCAAACACATTAAAAAATTTCATTTTTTGAAATATTCATGTCTCTTGAATGAACCTGGACACTTTTGATTTTCGAATGCCTTCAGGCCCTGCTCTTCGATTGGTCCTGATTCGCCTCCTTCGAATGGGACTTCTTATGTACCCTTAGAATGGGCCTTCTGAATGCTTCTTCGAATGGTCTTGAGTTGCCTCCTTCGAATGGACTTCTTATGTACCCTTCGAATGGGCCTTCTGAATGCTTCTTCGAATGGTCTTGAGTTGCCTCCTTCGAATGGACTTCTTATGTACCCTTCGAATGGGCCTTCTTAAAATTCCAATCGAAAGGCTTTGTTAACAGGCCAATCGAAAGGTGATGTTCATGCTAATCGAAGGATCCCTTGGCATGCCAATCGAAGTGCTTGTCCATAATGCCAATCGAAAGGCTCATTCAGAATACCAATCGAAGGGTCTTTCAGAATGCCAATCGAAGGCCTTGACATAATGCCAATCGAAATGTATTTAAAGCACCACTCAAAAAATTTCTTTTTCCTTAGGCAAGGGTTTGTGATCAACCATGCAGGGGGAAGACTTTGGAAAACATGAGAGGGCAAATTTTTGGGTACAACACTCTTCTTTAAACTCCAAGGTATCCTTCAATCATGTTTATTCTTTGGCAATGACTTGACTTGAACCTCAAGACCAATATCCTTAAATGACAAGATACCACTTCTGACCAACTTATGAACTTCAGCTTTCAATGAATAACAATGTTCGATACTATGCCCAGGGGCTCCTTGATGAAAGACACACGTCAAATAATCTTTTGTAGTACTAAGGCATCTTCTCATGAATCTTCAGTGGAGATCGGGTCTGAACCAAATTCCTCTGCATCAAGATAGGAAACAACACTGTATAGGTAGTTGGAATTAGATCAAACTGAGTTTTTCTCTGACCAGGAATTTGCTGGTTGGGAGCTTCGGAAGTTGTATTTACCATAGGGGTGATAGGAAAAACACATTGTTGGTGATGACCTTCCCTTTTTTGGGGTCTCCTTGGTCCTTGCTATAGTCGCAGATGATTTGCAAGAGTTGGGTTAACCGATGGCATAACAATAACAACTTATGGATGCTGATAACTCCTTTTTCTACATCTAAGTTTCCTTTTCCCTTTTTGTGGAGTATCAATGGAGTCTTGCTCCCTTTTCTTGGAAAATCTATCACCATACTTCTTTGCATTATCTGTCGAGTTACCATTTTTAGACAAACGTTCCTCTCGTGAATCTTCTTCCAGAAGCACTCCCACATTCACTTTTTCAGAGAAATCACTGGGTGTATTAACTATCACCTTCTCATGAAAGAATGATTTCAAAAAATTTATGAAGACCTTTTCCATATCTTCTTCCTTCCTAAAAGGATTGACTTGGGCAACAACCAAAGTTTCAACCAAAGCAGTTAGATACTCCATACCAGCCTTTAAAGTAGTTATCTCTTTACAAAGTTCAAATATCTCTTGCCTAATGTTTTCCATCTTCTTTTAGCACGAGTGTTGCACTGACGCTATAACTTAACTTTCTGGAGACGAAGAGCAGAGGATAAGACTCCAGAAAACTCTCGAAATCAAGACAAAAGTGAGAATGATGCATGTTATGCAATGCAAATGATTATTTAAAAGTTTTAAAACCAAGTTGTCGAAGAACTTTGGAACATTATAAACAAATCAACAAACATCAATTAAAAGACACAATTGTGACAATTGAAAAACTCATTTCATTAATATTGGAAGGATTACATTTGAAGTACAAAACTTCACTAATCCTATACAGAAGAAAAAGAAAGCTAAATCCTCAGATCCAAATAAACTGCATCCAATTAAAATCCAACATCATGTTGTAAAATCTTCTTGAGCTTGAATGTGGAATGACAAAGGAAAATAAATCCTCTTGCACTTTTCTCTTCTACTTTACTGATAATCGGGAAAATAAATCACTGATACAAAGGTTTAAGGAATTGGATCGAGGGTGTGGAGAAAATCCATCTTCAAGCTAGCTAGGAGAACTTGAAATCCCAAGGAAAAGATACCAAGGGTTCAGGTTTTCTTAATTCTTCTGAATCAGGACTCTTGACGTAGTACTTCTGAGTACTCTTTCCAAAAATCCATAATTACAAAATTTGTGATGTTTGCAAGCAGAAGTCTTAAGGTCTTTGAAAATTTGGTTAAAAAAATGCTCATGGGTGCATGAATGCGTGATGAAACAATCCCGCACAAGATCACAAATATGGGAGAGTTCATAGGTTCGACGTCACAAGCATGAAGTCAAAGGGACTATCCACAAAGTAAGGACTGATAGCTTATCACTTGCAGAACAAGGTTCTAAGAGGTTCCCATAGTCTACGCTCTTCCTTTGGATATTACCAACGTCCCAATTATTCGATAATTAGTAATATTTGCAGGAAAAACTCATTTGAGTGCAGCATCGCATGACAACTACTTTTGGATCACTCCGTCATAGTCTCCGCACTACATCTAAAAAGGCCAAGATGGGTTAAGGGTTCTAAGGCTCTCAGCTTCTCTGGCTCCCAGGTCAAAAGCAGCAATGTCTTCCCGATTACTTGGTAAACAAATACTACAGTCAAGGGAACCTCCACTGAGTGGGGGATTTCATGTCTCCTTTTTCAGGATTACTCCCTCAAAGTTAAAATGACTATACTGCTTGTCTTATCTTAAGTGTAATTTAGTCCGGGTATATAACTTGTCCTTTGTAATCAACACCCAAAGAAACCAAAAAATAACACATATAAGCACACAAGCAATAATAACGTAAACAAATATAACAAATTAGGTTTAACCCACTTAGAGTGTTTCAAGTCGCCAGCAGAGTCACCAATTCTGTAGCAGTGAAAATCAGAGATCAAGATATTGATTAACTTGACTCGCAAATAAGCAAGAGTCGCCACCGCGCTTTTATTATTTCCAAGGGAAAAGAGAAAAGTGCAAAATAAAATCCATAAATATGCAAAGTAAGTGCAATACTAAAAGTAAAGAAAACAATGCATTTGAAAGAGATCTAATTTTCAGGGGTTCATTATACAAAGGGAAGGTACTAGCACCCTATGTATCTATAGTATCCTATAGAAACCTTTTGAAATATCTGTTTTTTGGTTAAAATTGATTTGCTTGCTAAATAAGTGTGGGGGTGAGATTTTTTGAAAATGCGACGACTTAGTGTCGAAGTTTTGGCTTAAATGAGTGTAAGTTTAAAAATTGAGTTTTTTAGGAGATTTGTCTCTAGATTAATAAAACTAAAATATATGAAAGGGGTTCGCATAATCATGATGACGTGAAGTCAACTAATCAATTATTTCCCTTGGAATTTGAACCATATGTAATTTAAGTGTAATAATCAAATAAAAATTGAAACATAGGCACTTGAAGATTTTCACAAGAAATAAAACAAATAATGACAAACAAATAATAAGAATTTCAATTAAAGAGACAAAGAAAAAATCACATACAAAAGAAAGGAGTTATAACAAACAATACTAACTGAAATAATACTAACTAAATTAGGATTATAAGATTACTAAATTAATTAGAAATCTATGATTATTTAGATAAACTAAATTAAATTTTTTATGGATTACTAAATTATTTCTAAAATAAATTATAATTTTAAAATTACTAAATTACATCTAAACAAATTTATTCTAAGATAACTAATTTAAATTTAAACTAAGTTATTTAATAAAAGGGAGTGTAAAGACAGAAAATTGGGGGTGAGCTAGAAATTCGGATGGACTAAGAAAATCTAAAAGAAGAAAGGTCCAAAGATTAATAAAAAACATATTATATATAATAAAAAACAAATAAAAAAAACATTAGCTGGGCCAGACCTGGTCGGGTCCGGACCCAGTTCCCACCTCACAAAAGCCTATGGGTTAGGAAAAAAACCTAGTAACAAAAGTCAGTCGTTGTATACCTAGTCAGAAGGAAAAAAAATATATTTACAAAAACTCTGGAACTTGATCAAAAAGAAATATATCCTCAAAGGTCACAATTTATTTTCGTCACTCTTTCTCTTCCAAAATATTCTCATCCAAACTGCATCAACAAATCAATGCTCAACCCTCATCTCTCTTCCGGTTTCTTATTACAAAAAATCGACAACAACAACGATTATGTGTTCTGCACTTTCTCTCAAATTCGATACAAAAACAATAATCCCTATGTATCACAGTTTATATTCTCGATGCCATATCTACAACAATGTTACAAATATGAAAAAAGAAATATTCGAAAGCAAAATCAAATCAGAAAGAGAAGAAGCTACCAGTCAAAATGACGACGGCATGATGACGAGATCAGCGAAGGGTTTACAGCGGTGGAAGATTGAAGGTGATGGTTTCGAACGGGGACATGAGCTTGAGACAAGAGTTATTGCGCAGATTCTGGCGAGGTTCGAAGGTAAACTCTCAGACCTTTTCCCTATCCTCACTCTTCTTCTTCTTATGTGTATGCTTTGCTTTGTATTATGCGTCTTTGGCCTGCTGTATGTGTCTTATTTTACTCTTTTACAACTTATGTTGTCCTATTGTTAAGTTGAAGTGAGAGTTTGAAACAACAGTGGTGGTCAAATGGTGATGAAGTTTGGTTATTTTTCTGTTAGAGTTGTGGTCCAATGAAGATACAATTTGACAGTGGTGTAGTTTATAGGAGGATATAGTTGTGGAGGTTTAATGTAGGAGGTTGAAGAAATGAATGAAGGATTACTGAGTTAGTGTGTGAAGGTTTTAAGAAAGACTGGGCATGTGAGTTTGGGTAAAGGGAGTATTGTGAAAGGTTTGCAGAGTTGATAAAAAAATGGAGTTGAAACTTTGTTTCTGGTTTACAATGTTGTGTGGATATTGGCAGGTGAAGATGGAAGATAAGTTGAGGTTGTAGTGTTTAGGAGAGTTTTGGACAAAAGTTGTGAAGTTGAGTATTTAGAATTTCAGAGAGATTTCGAGGGTGTATTTGCACAGGGTTGAGAATGATCTTTTGTGGTTTTCTCCCTATTTTTATCAGTGTTTCTGGTGCGATTTTCCTTGGTCTCCTATGTGAAAAAAATAACCCCCTACCAATGTATGAGTGTTGCCTTTTATAAGAGAATCGAGGTAGATTTCGGGGGGGGGGATTGGTGCATTTGAACTGGTTTGGTATGCTAACTTTATCTTTCTTGTTACAGGTTGGTGCATGATCATTTTTGTGCAAATTTTAGACAGTTTAGGTGTAGATTCTGGACAGGTTTGGACTGGTATAGCAGTGTGGTATAGCAGGGAAATGATGCAGGTTTTGGAATGGTTCTTATACAGGTTTTAGAGCAGGTTGACAACATGTTTTGGAGTTTTAAAGACTAGCTTTTGATAGGTTTGTGCAGCATAGCAGGGCAACAGCAGTTTAGCAGCAACTTGGAGGGTTGTAGCATGTCATTGGAATGTCATTTTCCTCTTGTACTTTCTGCTTTTTTTACATATATTTTCCCTCTCTTTTCCTTTTAAAATTGGACTGATTTTGTACTCATGTGTCTTATTGTTTACTTTGTGGACAACTTTGCATTATAACATTATTTGACAAAGAAATAAATGGCCTTGAGATTGATTGCAAGCTTGGCAAGAATGTTGGAACAAGGTTTGGAGATGAATGAAGATGAGGATAATTTAGCATAGGCTTAGGATTTGCAATGATATATGTAAACTTAAACTATTCTTGAATGTATTTGTACATGTATCTTGAAACTTGAATCATGAATGGATTTGGAGATATTTAAATGAATATGGATTTTTAGAACTTGATGAGTCTTGCATTGATTCTTATGACATGGAAGCAAAAGTCTTGAATTATTTGATCTCACGATCTTGAAAAAATGGACTTGGAATGACAACTGTTTTGAATGGATTTTAAATGATGAATGGACATCTTGTATTTGCTCATAGAATTCCAAACAAATTACATGAATTGATCTTCTAAGTTGAGCAAACTTGCATCATAAGAAAATTGGTCCTTCTAAATATCTTGAACCAAAAGCAAATTCATATGAATAAATTGTGCCTCACACACTTGAATTTATTTAAAATCAAAGGCATCATTTGATTGAATCCTCAAACCTTCTTTGTTAAAACCCTAAATCATGTCTTCACCTAATAGTAATTTGAAATACAAACCAATAGTGCTTGAAAGAACAATAAGGCCTTGAGAAATCTACTTTCATTCAGTGATCACCAAACGCTCAGGCACATGTGATTTGAATTGCGAATAATAAAACGATCAATGAATTTTCAAACTCCACTTCTTGTTTTCATGAATAATCTCCACGTAAGAATCAAGTGTCTTGAGAAAATAATTATGATATGGATTGAACCTAGGATTTAAGAACATTCTAAGTCAAGAAATGACCTATGATAATTCAATAACTTTCAAGATATTCTAAGCATAATTTATCCTAGGTCTTTGAAGAAAAGTCGTAGACGACATCATCTATGACATTGTGTAAAAAGAATCATCCAAAAATCTTGAAAATTGAAAGAGTTATGATCCTTTGAAAGTTGGGCGACAGTTACTTGAGATTAGGTCAAATCCGCAAAATGACCTCTAAGATATTCGAATATTCGATGATCCTCAGCACACAATCAGATTTTGACTTGTAAAGAGAAGTTGGAGATGACGTTAAGGAGAGTCATACGCAAAAAGAACCACTCAAAAATATTTAATAATGAAGAAGTTACAATCGTTTGAACTTGATCTTGAAAATGTTGACTTTTGGTCAAAGTGCTTTGAATCGACTTGTAAATTTGATCTTTCCTCGCATTCCCAGACATATTGATTCACATATGGACTAGTGATGATGAAATCTTGACTGTACTTTTGGTTAAGAGCTAAACTTTGATGAAATAGTATTTGACAATTGGTGATTCATCATACTTGAGCACTTAAGGGATCCAAAACCCTAATTGAGGCACAACACCTGACGTTCTTGATTCAGACCTGTCTCTACACATGAAATCAAAGAAACACAAACATACACCTTTGTATGGGATTAGAAGTCAGTGATGCATAAGATAAAAGGTCCATAACAATTGATAATCTCTGCATAAGCAATACTCGAAGGTGAGCAGATTAAGAAAAACCAATTGTATCTCGTGACCTTGATGCTTTATGAAAATGCAAATGAAGGTGGGATCTTAGGTCAAAAATTGGGGTACGACAGCTTCTTGTTGGTTAAATCATTATTTTCCTTAGCTTTTACCTTATGCTTTAGGATAGTTCCTTCATCTCCTCTTATCTTCTTTAATTTCAAAAATCTTTTCCCTCCTTTTCAAAACTCTTCTTGTTTCTTAACTTGAACCGCTTTCATAATAAACTTGGACTTAGGTCCATGCTTTTTCAAAAATCTTTTCTTAATAAAACTTTAATCAATTTAACCATACTTTGATATCTTTTTTTAAAGACTAAAAATCATTAACCTCATTCAAACCATTTTGCCACTTTGGCTTTTTACTTTAAAACTTTTCTCAAAGATTGAACTCTTGTTGATTCTTGTAGCGACGCAAGCTACTATACTTATATGTTATGAAGTGAAGAGAGATATTTTTCTCTTGGGTGTTGAGTAATGTCTTGTTGATTTTAAATCTAAAGACTATATCCTCCACTTTGAGATGATGCAAATACTCCTTTATCATAATTGTGGGTAGTAAGTATGTTTTCCACTCGGATATGACGAGATGTCTCTTCTCTTAAAATTAACCAACACACATGTGTTTTAAATTTTTTGAGGTGAACTACGAGTACCCTGATCCTGTATTGCATGGAAGATGGTACGTAGGCCCTAAAGGTTCGCAACCGCGACGGGTGCAAAACTGTAAAAAATACTTCTTTTCTCATTTCCGCCATCTTATTTTGTATACACCTTTTATAGCCAAAATACACAGATTTTCAAAGAGATTCTTGCGGAGTACCGTAGATGTTTAGAGAGCGAATACACTCCCTTTGCATAACCAAACTTCGTATCTAGATTCTCTCCCCTTCTTTTGGGTTTATTCGCTCTTTTCCCATTTCCTTTGGAAACAATAAAGCGTTGTTGCGATTTTTATTTGATCTGTACGAGTTATGACAATCTAATGGCTTAGTCTCAATATTTCTACCGCTACACACGCACAAATATTTCTCCATCGTATCAATTGAAGAAATTACACCCATTTCATCTCTGCAGCTGCATTCACAAATAATTAATGCATTATTAATTATGGGTTTCAGATAATACTTATACCTTCATTTGACATAATATGTGTTTTATCTTGTATAACCCACTGGCATTAAACCTAAGTTCATGATTCTCACTTGTACATGCAGTAGTGAGAGGTGAATTAAGATCACATAAGCAACATACATCTCTTCTTCGTGATGCACAACTGTTACTGGACACAGAGCATGACTGTGACATTTTCGAGCTTGAAGAGGAAAACGATTAGAAAGAAGACAAAGCGAGTAGAAAACAAGGAAGGAGAAAACGAGAAGGAAGACAAAATTGAGGAAGAAGACTTTAAATACCTTAGAAACCAATATAAGAAAGACGAAATTGAATGCAAAAGACGGTATTGAAGACAAAAGACGAAATTGAGGAATGAGAAGGAATAGAAAATTAGAATGATACATTTATTTTAATTAATTTTCATTTTTCTTTTAATCTTTTTCATTTTAATTTATTAAATTTTTAAATAAAAATTTACAGTTTAAAATTTTCATATTAGCAATGTCACATAAACGTAAAATGGAAGAAAATGAGATTAGACTAAAATTGCACAAAAATTTTTTTTTAACTGTTTTATTCAATCTAAAAAAGGCATGATCAATTTTGTGAATTGGTCATAATGCTGACTAAAAATACTATTGAGCCTAATATATTCATCTCAAATGACAAATGAGAAGATAGAATGACATATCATAAAATAAAAAAATTCCTAATAGGATGATTCAATAAATTTATTACGCTTTTTTGTGTGGAATTACAATGCATATTGCAAATATGTATAATTTTCCGTAAGAAACGGCAAATACTCAAACTTCAAAGTTCCACTCGCAATGATAGCGCGTAGAATTTGAATATTCCACTGACTACGCAAGCGAAATGATCCACACTGTAGTCGCAATCTCAAATCCCTAAATTCTGAAATCGCCAAAACCCTAAACATTCAATCCACCAAATCTCACCGGAGTTTCGCCGGCGATGGTTATCCCTGAGCCGGAGAATCGAACAGAGTCAGATTCTCAAAGCCCCGAGTCATCGGAAAATCCTTCCCATTCCGATCCGCAGAAGAAAACCAGGGATTTACCCAACTTGACCGAATGTCACGCGTGTGGCTTCAAGGTTGACATGTGCACCGGTAAGAACAAGCTCCGACCCCTTTATAGCGAATGGCGTATTGTTCTTCTTTGCAACAAGTGTTTTTCTTGTGTCCAATCTTCCCAAATTTGTTCCTATTGCTTTTCCGCATCTTCTTCAGATTCTTTTCGTTGCACTCTATGTCAGCATTCTGTTCACAAAAATTGTTTCTTTAAGTTCAGAGATGTTGCTCCTTGGTCTTATTCTTGTTTGGGTTCTGAGTTTTCTGTATGTGTGGATTGCTGGGTTCCTAAACATGTGGAAATTTCTCGGAGAAGAAGTATGAGAAGTTTAAGAAAATTAAAGAGTGGTGTGATTTTGAAAAAGGGTAGGGTTGACTTAGAGAAAGAGGGTTCTAGGGTTTTGAAGGGTGAAAAGTTTATCAGATCTATGGATGATGTGGTTAAAGACGGTAACTGTAAGATGAAGAGCAAGATTGAAGCGGTTGCTAGGACTCGAGATGTGGCAGCGAAGGGAGCTGTGGTGTCTAAAAGGGCTGTTGAGCTGGGGAATAGGGAAGAGAGTACTCTGAATCTGCCTCCCAAAATGGATTCGGTTAAATTTGTTGGCGGCTCGTATTTGACTTTTGACTTGCGTTTGAATAGCTCGCCGAGGGTTTCAAAGAGTCGTTGTTTGTTGAGTACCAGTTACTTGGATGCTCCAAAGAAGTGGATTTCTAGTGTCAATTCATCAAGGAATGCTAGTGGTTCTGATAATATGTTGGATAGTGATTCTTCAACTGATCTGAGTTGTCCCTGCATGGGAGGGAGTGACATGATAGCTTTCCCTAAAGGTGCTGAATGCACAGCTGCATTTGGTGTTGAAGAGATTGGGGAAGAGGCATTGAAGGAAGGGGAGGGAAGTTGTTCTGACAGGCTAATAAACTTAAGCCGAGAAGATTGTGGATTGGAACATGATCGCAAGCAAGCTGATGCTGCACCTCATCGGGAAGAGCGGAAAGATCGTTATTTCTTGAAGTATTGTAGGAGGAAGTCAGATCGTTATCAATTGAAGTATAGTAGGAGGTCAAATCGTTATTTCTTGAAGTATAGTAGGAGGAAACCAGATCGTTATACCTTGAAGTATAGTAGGAGAAATTGTTTAAAACCAACTCTTAATAGCCTTGAGAATCAAGATTTGACTGTGTAGATTCCATTCGATTGTTCTGTACAATTGAGAATACATATCCAATGTTTCATGTCATTCATGTAATGCTCCTTTATAATAATTAGCTTTTGAAAGCTGATATTTCAGAGATCTGTCATAAAACGGAATTGGTACATAATTATTCTCTTGTTATTTTTCTTAGTTAAAATTTGAAGCTGTTGTTATTCACATTGGTTTTTCACCACCGGTATAGTCCGGTTCGGGGGTCATTATGGCATCAAGTGGTTCCAGCCCCCTCCCGATCGCAGTTGTGGGGGATCATTCACATTGTCTGTTTTTATTTCTATCTTGTTTTCTCTTATGCTCTTACTTTTACTTTTAAACCAATGGGAAAGATAAACAAAGGCCTAATAAAGAATGTAAGTTATGCAGACTGGAAAAGGAATAATTATTAGAAAATGTATCAGTAATTTTATTGATGAAATGATAGTAGGCAATATGGTGCCTTCTATAAATGCTGGAAGTAGAATTTCGTATACTTGATCACAGTTTGACAGTATCTCATTTCAAGGTACCAATTACGTAATAGGTTTTTATCTTGATTCTATATGTTTCGTTCAAGCTTAGCTGCATCATCTTTTAAGTCTTTACCCTTCTTTTTGCTTATTGTGATGTTTCATTAAATATGCCTGATTTTACCCTGAAATCAATTCTGGTCTACCTTATAAAATACTCATAAATGAGTCATGCTACCTAAGACCGTTCACGGATAGGACCTTACATTGACAAGACTTCAGATGAATGTAGTATATAAAATTATCATTCTGATTGAGTAGCATTATGATGGCCGGAACCAGAAGTGTTTCAGTAGTTTTTCATAAGGTTGAGTGCTATTTTAATGCAAAGTTGTTTTCAATTTTATATGTTTTCATTTTAATAGTGATAGAATGCTTCACTTTTCCTGTCTTGATCAATGGTTGCGTATGATGGTTTTTACTTTTTACTGACTGTATGATGATGATAATGCCAGGTTTTTGGCTTAGCACAAATTTTGAAATTAATACAGATAACAACACAATATATGGAAGAAGTTAAAACTATCTAGCATCTATAATTCCAGTCAGGTGCTGTATTTTGAACTTAATTTATCTTGATTTGGTTCTTATACTATTACATTATTTTTTACTGTTTGTCACAATTACTCAACATTTGTAGTCTGAACGAAATTGTTGCTGGGTTTGCTTGATTCTGATAACTTATGCTAAAATGTGAAGCTACTGATGTTATAGACACTTGTGTATCATGTTCCTGCTTTAAGAGTTGAGACCACATATATTTGCCATTCATTGGATTCACTTACCTTAGGAGTGACAAATTTGGAGAAAAGGAAATTACAAAGCATTTTAAATATGGTTTGATAATGCAGTTGCCTCCTTTTAACCATTCTGATTATAGACTAGAAGTAATTTTTGGCTTACCTTTCTCTGTTTTTCTGTCTTAAAAAGTGAGATCTTTTATTGATGATTGTTAACTAATTTTTATTCTCTTTTATATGTTTGCCTAATTTTCTAAGTAGCTGATCATAAGTTTCGTACTATATCAACTGCAAAATGGTCACAAGTTTACAGCTGGAATCTCAGTGAACCTCACTCATGTTTGTATCAAATGGTTTCAAATGCAATGTTTATTTATTTATTAAAGAATCTATTGATGATTTTTGTCGCATCAATCTGTGGTGGAAATCACTAGAGAAGAAAGAAATCGCTGAGGGTCTCATATGATTAGTGTGAGAATGCAGGATGGTGCCATAGAGAATTCCCCAAAAATTGTATGACTGCACAAAAAGTTAACTTTAAGTCACTGTTTTCTATCAGTCTTAAATGTACTTACAAATTCATAGTATATAAATTTAAAGTTATCAAAAGACGAACACATTCAGAATATATAAAATCATCAAAAGACGAAGCACACATAGTTTAGAGATGAAAGTTATAATTTGATGAATTTATGTATATATTTTAATACAAATTTATGAACCTAACATTTCATGAGGATTTACTATATTTCTACTTGTAATTAAGTTGGATTTTAAAATATAAATGCATTTATTATATTAGTCATATATAAAAATTTAATAATGCGTATATCAATTTAATAGTTATATAAATCATATATAAAAATTTAATAATGTAATAATTTAATAGTGTAAATAAAAATTTAATATTTTTTAAAATGAGGTAAACCCATTCCTAATTCAAGTCTATTACACATACGCAAAACAGAATGGCACAATAAACCAAGTTTGAGAACTTCGATTTTGTGTCCGGCATGTATAATACCATACTTCTCATCCTAGTTTACTCATTTTCTTGCTCTAAATCAAAACCATGTCTTCAATTTGTTGCAATCAGAACTGAATTCGCATAATCAATAGTTTTGTACCACAAAATCCAAACTCGAATTCACATATCCAATAGCTTTGTTCCAGGGCAATGTTTCGAATTAGCATGATCCGCAACAACATCTAGCAATCACAACTTGAATTTGCATAATCAATAGTTTTGTACTACAGAATCCAAACTCGAACTCACATATCCAATAGCTTTGTTCCAGGACAATGCTTCGAATTAGCATGATCCACAACAACTTCTAGCAATCAAAACTCGAATTTGCATAATCAATAGCTTTGTTTTGCAACAATGCTTCGAATTTGCATGACCAGACATTCATCTCAAATGGTAGGCGTGAAGACCAAGTGAAATGGTATAAAACATTGCACCTTTTTTTGTATCTTTTAAAAGTTAGTGTTGTAATAGAGACTAAATATATAAATTTGATATTAAAAAAATGTAAATGATTAATATGTTACGAACTCTCTATCAACTATCATCAAGTTATTAATTTTAGATAACGGAACATAACGGACTACTCTCAAAAATAAAAATAGTGTGAATAATTAGATCTTGGATAGCAGAATAATTATATGAATAATCATATAAAATATTATAGATATAGATGAATGAGGAATATTTATATAAAAATATGAGAAGTTATACATATAAAATAATGATTATTATTTATCTTTTTTCAAAACAATCATACTATTATCATATTATTAAGCAGATGTACTCTTACACATGTACTGAATTAATTTTGCAGCTGTATGTTTATTTATATTTTTTATTAAATGACTATTCAATTACTTTTATAGGTGTATGTTGATAAGATAGAACAGTTTTTTTTTTTTTTTAAAACTTTTCTACTCTATTTTATCAATAAAAAATTATCAGCATTTATTGTCTATCCGCTTCATCTTATCTTTCTTTCTAATACTGTACCACTCTCTTCATCTTCTCTTCCTATTCTGCCTACCTCTTCATTTTTTTTCCAAAATCATAAATCCACACAAAAAAAGAATAAAAAAATGAAAACCAGTCGAAGAACCACTCCTCCCGGGAAAAACCTGCGACACTGCATCCAGGTAAGCCCGGATGGGTGCCGCAATAGCGGCCAGGATTAACAACTCTGACTGTCACTACAAATTGGCTAATGATAGACCAAAACTTACATGGACTTGATATTTGGAGATTGATAAAAAGCATCATCAATCAATATTTGTTTTTACTAGCTATCATATACATAGCAATATATTACCGCATCAAATGACTCAAATACACAACTTGGAAGTTAAACAGAATACAAATATGGTGTGTGTTTGGTTCAGCTTATTTCTACCGCCACCGCACATTTGTGAGCAATCCTACCGTGAAAAAGAGAAGCTCCTCCAAAAGGGAGCTTCTAGGCCACCGTGATTTTCTATGATGTACCATAAACCAAACACAGTTTGAAAAAGTTGTTGGTTTAAAGTAGAAGCCTGATTGGCATACAGAAATTGTACAATGAGTGTTGAGAATACTAACAAAAAGTTCACTCAAACACTCAGTCACCTTAAAAATTAGATCTCATATGAAGTTCATGTTGTGTTGTCTTCATCTTATAGGTCAAATAAATTTAAGACAACCCGACTCGAAGTACTTCGAAAATGGCACATGGATAGACATAAGGTAACAACTGTTACATAAAATGTGTCTATGCATTCACAAATCACAGGATAAGCAAAAGAAAATAATGATAGCATAGAGCACAAGATATTTGACAGTAAGTCAAACAAGCACAAGATTTAAATGGAGCTAACGATTAACAGTTATGAACATAAAAGAGTTTTGCTATATGTTCAAAGTATTGCACGTCATAACACGGTATCATACAATCATAAAAAAAAAATCCAAAACATTGTCATCAAAAGAAAAAGTTGAGGCAGTAACAGCAACCCTTCAATTCGAAAACTGCAAAATCACAATAAAATTAGCATCAGAACCATGAAAAACATGTACACAAAGTAGAACTCAATGCATGTTTAGTACCTCAATGAAACTAAATGTATCAACGGTAACTTCCAGATGATCCACGACGCTCGTATGGTCCAGCACGATCCCTGTCACGACCACCACCATCCCTATCACGCCCACCACCATCCCTATCACGACCTCCACCATCCCTTTCACGACCGCCACCATCCCTATCGCGCCCACCACCATCCCTGTCACGACCGCCACCATCCCGATCGCGACCACCACCATTTCTTTCAGGACCATAGCCGCCGCTATATCTACTTTCTCTGCCACCATATCTTCCCCCTCTTTCTCCTCCTTCACTGGGACATTCTCTTGCAAAATGACCAGGTTTACCACACTTGAAGCATTCACCACCATTGGACCCTCGACCACCTCCATAATCTCGGCCACGATTGCGATCACGTGAGTCACGACCACCTCGACGATCATCATCGTCTCTATTTCCTTGAGGTTGGGCTTTATCTACAGTAATAGTTCGACCATCCAAGTCAATTCCATTCATGGCCTCAATAGCCTCTTCCATTGCTTCCTTGTCATCAAAGGTTACAAACCCAAAACCACGAGAACGCCCAGAGAACTTGTCAACCACAACCTAAATCAATTTTCATCCAATGTTAACAAAGACTA